CACACACACACACACACACACACACACACACACACACACACACACACACACACACACACACACACACACACACACACACACACACATATATATATATATATATGTATGTGTATATATATTAAGCAGTATGCATTGAACGCGTGCTTACTGGCTGTGTTGCCCATACAAATGATCTAATACTCACCCACCACAACCTCTACTACCACACTACCACTCTCAGATAGATGTCATTAAGACCAACATGCAGACATCGACAGGCAACCAGAGCTTCTTCCAAATTACGGGGTCTATGTACAGGAACGGCGGCCTCAGATCCTTCTACAAAGGCGTGGCTCCGTGCTTACTTAGGTCTATTCCCGCGAACGCAGCTTTGTTTGCTACTGTCGAGCTCACATCCACGTTCCTGTCATAGACAGGCGTATGTAGACAGATAGTCTTTAGGATTGACCAAGTATTTAGTGTACATAACAAGCCAGCTAATTAAAGCATTGCTTGCTACTGTTAGGAGGGGTTGAGGGTTGAGGGTTTTAGGGTTCCATAACAAGCCAGCGAATTAAAGCATTGTTTCCCACTGTTGGGGTTTTAGGGTTCAGGATTTAGGGTGTCATAACCATAACAAGCCGATTTTTAGAGTTCAGGGTTTTGGGGGTTCATAACAAGCCAGCTATCTAAAGCATTGTTTGCTACTGTCGAGCTCACAACCACGTTTCTGTCATAGACAGGCGTATATAGACAGATAGTCTGTATAGAATTGGCCAAGTATTGAGTGTACATAGCAAGCCAGCTAATTAAAGCATTGCTTGCTATTGTTGAGGTTTTAGGGGTTCATAACAAGCCAGCTAATTGTGTATCTGGAATTAGTTGCCGACTATGAGTGTAAATCTGGTTTTAGGATGGTGTATATCTGGTTAAATAGACCTACTTATTTGGTTGCATCCTTTAAGTGTCGATAGAAATCAGTTCAGTTTAATGATAATGACTATGTGCGTAAATCTGGAATTAGTTTATTGATTATGAGTGTAAATCTGGTTTAAACGGACTTAATTATTTGGCTGCATCCTATAAGTGTCATGTAGATATTAATATACTGATTATGATTCTGAGTGTAGATTTGTAATTAGTTACTGATTATGAGTGTAAATCTGGTTGAATAGACCTACTTATTTGGTTGCATCCCTTCAGTGTCAATAGAAATTAGTTCAGTTTAATGATCATGGCTATGAGTGTAAATCTGGAATTAGTTTCTTGATTATGAGTGTAAATCTGGTTTACAAGGATCTAATTATTTGGTTGCATCCCTCAAGGGTCATATAGATATTAATTTACTGATTATGATTATGATTGTAAATCTGGAAATAGTGTACTGATTATGAGTGTAAATCTGGTTTAGATGGACCCAATTATTTGGTTGCATTCCTCCAGGGTTGATTTGGTTAGCAATTAGCAGCTGTTTCTATCGCCAGTGTAGCATTCAGGTGGCCGGCTGGTTAACTTCGACAGGATTTAGAACTTCACCTCCGTTAGATCTGAGATAAATGAAGAACAAACTAGGTATGAGTGACTTTGATTCGTAGTGGTTGAGTAGACAAGTCCAAAATAAATGTAAATTAGAACGCATCGATAAGAGTTGTACAAAATTTATCAGGAATGCACGATGTATTTTAACTTTTCTCAGGAGTACACGATATGTTTTAACTTTTATAAGGAAAACATAATGTATTCCAACTTTTTATCAGGAAAACATAATGTATTCTAACTTTTTATCAGGAAATCATAATGTATTCTATAAATTGCGAGACAAACGCGACGAGGCAAAAAAAAACAGAAACCAACACTAAAAGTGGGCAGTTCTCCCAAAATACACATAAAATATTCTCCGCATACACCTATGGCATATGATATATCTATGATATACCGATCCTGCTTACACATGGGTTTTTAGCTAAACCCTAAAACCCTAAAACATGGGTACCCGGTGTCCATTGCCATGACGCATGTGTGTACTATGTCTTTTCCCTTGAATCCTGCGTGTGCTGTGTCGTTTGACATACCGTCAGTCGATGACTTGCGCTGCAGTCGGTTGTTCGTAAGACTGGTCCTTCTCTGCCGCAGCATTTCACTGGACGTTCTCGAACTGGTGTGTTGGTGTGTTGGTATTCGTGTGGGAGTGTATACTATGAAAAGCACGGCACTAAAACGTAATGGACGCCAATACCTATTGGCAATAATAGATCTGTACTGGTTGTGTAGGTATTGAACGCGTACACTAAACACACTCAATTACAAATTACTGGACGTTTTCAGCCGGCTGTGTAGGTAATGGAAGGTTGTTGGGCAGCAATTCCATCGTACAAGTAAACCGACCCAAACCGAGAGGACAAATTGTATCGGTGTCTAGAAATTGGATCAGTTTCTAACCAAATTAGTGACGGACCTAAAATCACAGTGAACACCAGCCACACGTGGACCAAGTCGGAATGGACTTATGGTTGCACCAAGCATATCAGAAAACTACAACCCGTGTAGGTAAGTTATGAGCAAACTCAGTACTCTGATGAGTCAATAGGTAAGTTATGAGCAAACTCAATACTCTGATGAGTCAATAGGTAAGTTATGAGCAAACTCAATACTCTGATGAGTCATACAGAAGTGTAGGCTACAGTTTAGTTTGAACGATCGGCTATAGAGAACAAACTGTTAAGCTCACCCGTGACATGACACTCTGACACTGATACTTTGACATTCTGACATATTGACACTCTGACAGTCCAAGCAGTGCCACTTACGCTTTGCTCGTGACGGTGTTGATGACATCGAACGAAGGCAGAGACTCACTGCGTTTGTATTTGAAACTGGTGTCTACACCCCGTGCGCGTCTTGATACGTTTTCTGAAATCAGTATCAACAGGCAGGCTTAAATAGGTGAGGTGGGCAAGATATAGCAGAAAAACGTACTCGCTATATACAGCATAATCAGGTGAGGTAGATAAGATATAGCAGACGAGAATGCTCGCTATATACAGCACAATCTGAGAGATATGTGAATCACATACCCTTTTGCAGTAAATTCGTCATTGATTGATGTTTGGGTTGAAACTCTAGACCTAATTTCCTGAGAGATCGGGTTGTTTCCGAATCTGAACCCAAAAACCCTTCGTCATCGGCCGCGGTCCCGCTGGGGATATATAGAGAAAAGGGAGGTGTTTAGGGTATGAAGTTTCGGATCTGGTGTTTGATAGGGCTTAGAGTGTTCTATAGGATTCTAGGGTTTGTGACATTCTACGTGGTTTTCAGGGCTTCTATAGTAAGCATACACAAACAATAAACAACAAGCAACAAACAAACAACACATTAAACACTCAGTAAGCACACACAAAGACACACGGTATACACTTGGCATATACATGCACACCTGCTTCCATCTCCCCTGTCCTCTAGCATCCGCTCTGCAAAGACCACCGCATGATCGTACATCTCAAACGCTACCGTGAGCTTGTCGCTCGCCCTTTGTAGTTCCTCTGCGAATATATAGTAATAGGGTTTTAGGGTTTTAGGGGGTGAGGTTGGTGGGGACCAGTTAGAATGCAAATTATATAAATATATATATATATATATATATATATATATATACTACTATACTACTAACATACATGTATAT